TCTTAAGGGTCGTGTGTACCAGGCTACAGTAAGGGCTGTGTTGTTGTATGGGTGCGAGACATGGCCTCTGTGGACAGATGATGTGAGGCGTCTTCAGGTTTTCGACCACCGATGCCTCAGAAGCGTGGCTGAAGAACAAAACTCAGTCTTGATCCTGAACTGAGACTGCCTGGTAATTGGCCAGCGTCAACCGACTACTCGGTTGATGACTCTCTACTGAGAACGTCACTCGAATTGAACGGGACAAAAACCTCTCTATGTATCTCGTTAACTATTTGTTGTCTGTTTGCTTTTCCCTTCCCTCTAAACCAGCACTTTGTAACCCAACTCTTTCCTGTTCAGATCAGCGGATAGTCTTCAGCAAAATTCCTACCTCTCTCCGAGCTAATAATAGCCCCAACGCGATTGCGGACAAAAAGCCCAGGGTTCCCCGGCGGATTCGACTGGTTGAAGGTGAGGAACTGAGAGAAGGCCTGCTGGAACTGTGGATCGCGAACCGATGGCGTCCAGTGTGTAGTCGGAACAATGAGTAAGTAAGCCTTTGGTTATATGGTTATGGTTATATATTCGCAGGTGACGATTCTGTGCCCTGTGCACCGAACTGAGTGTCTTGTCCTCTGGTCAGTACATAAGATGTGTCCCCTCAAAACCACTTTTCCTCGATTGTGTAATGAAATGAAAATTTTTGTCCCCCTGTTGATGCGACATTTTGTGTGATTTCCTTCTGCGGTTTCTGAGGGAGATTCCTTTTCAACTAGAATGTCCTGCCGGAAGAGAGGGCAAGTATCTGGAATACCGCTCAGGACAGGCCCCCATCGGCCAAAATGCACCTAGGGTTTTCCGCCATTCGCCTACATATGAAACTAGCTTTCATGTTCTAACGACCTTTTGAGCTCTTCTGATGCGTTACTTTACTTTTAGTTGAAGGCATTTTGCGAACGCCAGTTTCGTTTCACTCCTAAAGACCGTGAAGTCCACTAATGCGATCGATCGCTCCATTCAAGGTTGAAATGTTTCCAGCTATACCTGGAGGTCATTTGGCAACCACCTGAAAGCCATGTCATCTATCGTGCAAGGGTTCACTTGACTTCTGAGTGTATATATTGGAACAACGAAGTGATTCGAGAGCAACACACATTTCGGTGAAAGAATGCTCCGGGAAAAAACGTGGTAATTACACTCCACCGGTTCCATACAGCAACGAAGTGCATAGGAACCTGAGGTAAAAGAACAGACTGAGGTGTATGTTCGACGCGCTTCTCTATTTTCTACCTTCCATAGTTTAAAATCGTGAACTGATTTGCCGTTTTGGACGCGATAATGCCGGTACGTCCGAGGTGCTGATTAGAGTGTCCGATTGAAGGTTTTCCAATCAACCAACGAACTTTAGAAACTTGTCATCGAGGCACCGGTCGATCTGATCAAAGGTAACCATTAGCTTGAATGTTCTACTGTTCCAGTACTGGGAATTGTTGAATCCAACCGCATCTATAGATGGTTGGTAGCTTTCCTTGCGGCACTCCCTGGGATAGTCTCTTTGAATAGTACCAAACGTCTTGTAGTAAGATCTATCTGACTGTATCCGAACTGGAGGCACCGAAAGCCCACAAACTTTGTTGCTGAATGCACTGTGTTTATTGTACCATGATATCGTTAGTCCAGAGGCTCTGCATGTTCACCACACAAAAGTAAACCACTTGCGCGTCATGAAATATCTTTTTAATTTCCTGCAGCGTTTGAAGACGTGTGCATTCAGCCGGACACCTCTGGGAATTCTTGAGGTTTTGATGAATAGTTCGGACACCGTAATTTGATAAAAAGGTATGTGCACGTCATTGTTCGGAGAGGTCAGCGTCCTGTATGCTTGGACATGAAAGTTTTGGTCTCCGTCGGTGTTTGAGCAGTCGGAAAGAAAAGCTGCGCTTCCGAGAATCTTCGAACATTCTGACCAAGTTACCGTCGAAGAAGGCATACACGCTGGGGGGGGGCAGTGTTCTCTTAGTCCAGATCTATCAAATCACATATGCAGGTCAAGTCAACAGTCACAGTGGCTTCCTTTGAAACTTGATGGTCGAATGAGTGATGAGCTGGGTCTCCGTCGACTTCAGCTCCCCGCGTAGCTCAAGGAAGGTCCACATAGACACGGTGAAACCTTCCAGGCAATGGGGGCTGACTAGTCCCGAAGGCCTTATTGGAGCTCCAAAAGAATTCAGAGCTGGTTTCATCCGTTCGATCGTCAGGCTTGCGGTTGAAACGTTTATGGGGGCGAGATGGACCAAGTGGTTATAGCGTGAATTTACTGACCGGAAGGTCCGTGGTTCGAACCCGATCTCTACCTCTCGACATCCTTTGTCAAGGCTTGGGCAACCTGGCAGTATCAAAGTCCTCGTTCAACCTTAGGATGACATGGCAGTTGGGCATCGAAAGGGTGCTACAGCTGAACGAGACTTTTTCGCATATGATAGGAGCACCATAGAGTAAGTTTGTGGCTGCGTTTGTCTTTCCTTTGAAGAGATGTACAGTCTACTCAGTAATGGCCAGCAAACCACAGTCACGGCATCACTCATGACTGAAGTAGGCCTGCAATGGACGCACGAGGTCTCCCTATTTTAATTCCGCTATCACTTCCAGCTGTGGTCCCGTTGCAAGTGTGGACGGTTGACCAAACCCTGACCTCTTGGATTCTTCATGTTCATAACAGGTTGACGTGATTTTTATCGATACCGTTGGTGCTCCAAGCCGCCAACTGTTTTAGGAGAAGCAATGACTCGATTTCCCTACTGATCAGAGATACAGGGATAGAACTGGTTTGGAGCAGAGAAAGAAACGAACGAGATTATTCATCATGGTACCGAATACTTGCGGCACACCGATCCGGTTGACTGCTGAACGAGTCGACTCAGATAATCAAGCTCTTCGTTAGCACAGCAATGAACTGCTGCATCTATCAGAAATCTGGTTTTATTCCAAAAACGGAAAGTCGTATTGGACAGTTTTGTAGATCAGAGAATGACCCTTTCTTGGGAGAGGTACTATCGCAAAACCGGTTCCTCAATCTCATCTGAGTGACTGCTAGTCTCATACACCGGTCACCATCCCTCTCTGTTTACACGTGAACAATCTTCAAACTGCCGAGATTCCCCTTAGTCACACGTTCGTCGATCACCGGAACATTGGTGGTGCTTTCTGCGGTCAGCCAAGTTTCAGCTCACTTTAGGATACTCCTAGCAAACTGGGCTATCGAATTTGTCCCAAGTACATCTGAAGTGTGCCTGTGTACCCTAACGAAGGACGCGACTAACGAGTTCCCATATGATTCCTTTTAGACTAAAAATCCCTTTTCGTCTCGCATTTTGCTGTCGTCCAGGAATTTTCATTTTACAATCTGAGACTGAAACACTGAAGTATTCTTTTCGAGACGACCATCTGTCTTCTAAATGGCTATATTCTAGGCCTTCACTTTCCCGTTCTGAGATCGAATGGATCGACTTCGGTTCTCAAAGCGCCGGACAGCTGGACTGACTACTGACAGGAAAGTCCGTGTTTCAAACCTGTCTAGAATTGGACAACTTGGCAATGTCTCCTTCTCTCGGGTTGTAGGCAGCTACTCACCTGAGAAAAATGCCACAACTGAACCATCACTATTCAATATTATGCCTGAATTCTTCTCATCACTTGAAGGTCATTGGTGTAGGCCACAGATTTCTTCAAACGTGTCTTTTTTGAAAATGCATAACAGCTTTTTTCCCCACACAAAAGTAGTCGTTTCTAGGAGGGACTGCCGAGAACCAAATGAATGTGTATTTTCATAAAGGAAACTACTCACAAGATTACTGAAAACTCTTCGACAGCCCACGACTGGTTTCGATCTTCTTGAAGCTCATCAGATAGGCGAAGTCCCCGCGTTTACACCAACCTTATGTTCTAATTGAACCCAAATTGGACTGTTTCCGAGAAATACACTCATTTGCAAATCAACTTGGTTTTCACGGAATACTCAACTGAATCTCTCGTTCATGATATTTTACTGCAGCACTTTCAGTTGTAGAATATCCTATTTGGGTTCAAGTAGAACGTAAGGTTGACGGAAACTCGGGGACTGTGCCTACTTGATGAGCCCCAAGAAGGACGAAACCGGTCGTGGGCTGTCGAAGAGTTTTCAGCAACCTTGTGAGTAGTTTCCTCTATGAAAATATACTTCGATATCTCGAATATCGTGCCAATTGAATCATGAGGTGGTCTGTGTGCAGCACATTTGGTTGTAGAATATCATATACGAGAGATTCAGTTGAGTCTTTCGTGAAAACCAAATTGATTTGCAAATGAGTGTACTTCTCGGATGTGTATCTTCTTAGGAAGGGGGAAGATTAACTAAAGGCTACTGTGCGCTCCAGAATCTTGGGTTTTCAGCTAAACCAATAAAATGCACAACCCGTGTTTTGTGCTATACTACTCACTACAATCTTCACTCAACTCAAGAGACATCTACAACCTCCGTCCAGAGGAGTCTATCAGACTATCCAGCTGTGGTAGGTTGGAAATTAACGACCGTTGAGTAAAAAAAGGAGCAGGTCGGAAAGCCGCCTGGTTCTCTGACGCCTGAAGGAGAATCAAGGGGAAGCCACGGGCCAACCTGAACCCCCTAGCAAGCAGCTGACATCCCAATCAGTGGTCTTTCTCGAACCAGATTTCCAAACGCAGTTGAGGTGACAACTGATCTGCTTCTGACCTGAATTTATCTCACTGCTTTGCCGCCAATTCACGCTTTAATTGTGAACTGACCTAGCGAATATACACTCATTTGAAAACTAATTTGGTTTTTCGAGAGACTCACCTGGAACCCAGCTGAATCTCTCGTTTGTGATGTTCTCAGGCAACTGAATGTGCTGCACCAGGCCACCTCATGTTTCAGTCGCTACGATGATATTCGAGATATCGCGATACACTGTATCTTTGCTCATAAGGTTGCTGACGAAGGATGACAGGTGGGCTGTCGACGGATTTTCAGCAACCTTATGAGTAGTACATTACAAAGGTGAACTGACCTAATTTGAGCTGTTCACCTGACAAAAACCGTTTCTCCGTCTGAGGATTACGTCCCCGTTCAAACCTGAATATTATATTGTAAAAGAATGAATCAGATGAATTCCAGTCAAGCTATCCGTCAACATTAAAGCAGATTGCAAATGAACCTTTATCACAAGAAACGTACAATTTGATGATGGACAAAACCAGCGTTTTTATCAACCCTGTTAGTAGTGTAGAAACCGAAAATTTCCGTCCCGTTCCCCATTTTTGCTAAATTTCTTTTCTGTCGCTCTGCTCTCGTTTGAAAAGATGGACCCGAGTTGATTGTCGGGTCGCTTGCCAGAATCTGGGATTTGCCGATGGTAATTTCACTTTGGGGCCCATGGCTCAAAATCGAACTGCCAGCGTGGAAATAATTTCACCTGGTTGTCTGGGTAACGAGTCCACCTGGGTGGAACACAATGGTGTGTTTGACAGCCAAGGCTTGTTCGCCTGTCCTGGTTTGAAGCATGTCACGAAAGTTGGAAGTACCGTTTGCCGTAAGTTCGAGTTCTCTTGTTCTTCGATCCATTTTTCGCCCGCCATAAAATCCGAGTTTTGGATTCGTTTGAACAGTAAATTGTTGTTTCAATCTTTTCATCGGAATATATCTCATCGTGTTCCCCTCCGATGCCATTCATTTGCATGGATTAATCACGTCTAAGTAAGAAACCCAAACTAATTTGGTGAGGTCGTACTTCGCAACGGTCTTGCACGTGACTCGGGCTGAGAACTCGCTAGTTTGATTAGCAGTTGCGTTGTAACGTGCTGATTGCATCTTCAATGGGAGAAGAGAGGAAACTTCATGATGAAGAAAGTGAAAAAAATCGTTCAGCTGTTGGACCCTTTTGGTGCCAAATTGCCATGCCACCCGAATGAAGCACGAGGGCTGGGATACTGCCAGGTTGCCCAAATTTAAAAAGGGTAAATCGAGAGGCAGCGCATATAATTGGGGAATATCATAAACGAGTGATTCAACTTGGATTCGGCTGTCTCCCTTGAAAAAAACATATTGGCGTGCAAATAGGTCCACTTGGTCAAATTTGCGTTCATGGTCGACCGAAACTCGGGGACTTTGCCAAGCTTGTGAGTCCCAGAAAGTGCGACACCAGGAGGGTTTTTCAAAGAGTTTTCAGCAACCTTATCAGTACTGTGTTCTATGAATTGGGCAGTTTTGTGGACGAATGGATTGCACACGTGAGGCTGGCATCCTTTTTCCTGTCACAACGATGGGCCCGCACGCTCGGTACATAAGGCCACATGAGGTTCGCCATGTGCAACCACATAAGTGCTCTGTTTTTGATGTAAACCCGAGGGACCAAGACTGGAGTGCAGATGGGAGGGGGCCGGACAATTGACCACTTGAGAACCACAATGTACACAGTAGGTCCCACTCTGTAGACGCGCCCGTGTCTATTCATCTTGACCTGTACATATCAGTCAAAAATTACGCTCCATTGGGAGTGATTTTTGCGACCAATTGAGATGTTTTCATGAAGGAAACTACTCGCAAGATTGCCGAAAACTCATGGATAGCCCACGACTGGTTTGGCCCGTCTTGGAACTCATCATATAGGCGCAGTCCCCGAGTTTCCTTCAACCTTATGTTCTACTTAAACCCAAACTGGACTGTTTTGGAGAAATACACTCATTTGCATCGGTTTTCGCGAGAGACCTAACTGAATCTCTCGTTTATAATATTGTACAACTGAATGTACCGAACACAGGCCGTCTCATGTTTCAGTCGGCACGATATTCGAGATATCGCAGTATATTTTCATAATGGAAACTACTCACGAGGTTGCTGAAAACTCTTCGACAGCCCACGACCGGTTTCGTCCTTCTTGGGGCTCATCAGGTTTCCCTTATGGAAATATACTGCGATATTCCGAATATCAACTGAATCACGAGGCGGCCTGTGTGCAGCACATTCAGTTGTAGAATACCATAAACGAGAGATTCAGTTGAGTCTTCCGTGAAAACCAAATTGGTTTGCAAATGAATGTATTTCTCGAATGAAGGTGTTTCCCTAGAAATGCCATCTCCTTGCTTCTTCTTGTTTGCCGAGGGTAAGTTCATCCTTTGGTGGGGAAAGACAAATAGCGGACCATAAATTCGTCCATTCTGAAAAGAATCTGTTGCTCCTTCGTGCGTGTTTGGGAGGGAAGTTTTGTTGTTCAGGAAACGGAGATGAGAAGAACCGTGTGGGCTAATCTCGATGTATGAAAAAACTAGGGGAATATGTTATCTGAAGTGAACTGAGTTTGGTCTTTGATGGTGGGAAAGCCAAATTCCTAGTGGTAGTACAAATAAAGAGGTTTGATTACTGAAATGGAATGGTCTTATGAAAACCCAATCACCTGACTTTTGAAAACACGTGTATCATGTGATCCGGACGGAATATGGGGTAGTTAGTGAACCCCTTATGCTAAGGAGCAAGTTTGATGGTTTTTGGAAGGATGAAAGATTGTAAACTATTCTCGCATCGACCATGTTCAAGTGTACAGCCGATTTTTTCAAGCATGCATTGGATGATGTTCGTAGTGTGTAAGTGAAGCCAATCTATGCTGAAAAGCCGAGAAGCACTGTACAGCTGCTGTTTCATCCCTATTGGACGATCATCAGCAGTGCACATCTCACGAAACTCTGGAGAGACTCGAACCCGCGACCTCCTGGCCAGTATTTTGAAGACTATGCTTTTTAGCATAGATTGGCTTCACTTACAGGACGAAATCTCCACAAAGAATGTCACAATGGAGTTATTCCGATCGGGCCGTTGAATGTTATTCTCTAACTGGCACTATCTTCTTCGGATCAGCAGTCCCTCTCTTTATTCTTTTTGTTTCAAGCTAACCGGTTCTTCCGGAAACATTTCTGTCTGATCAGGTGAAAAATGCTTGGAACCGATTGCATGGTCATTGTTTTCGATTGTCACCAAAGTTTTTCGAAAATTTCTGTCTGACTTTTGTGATTGCTGCTGTTGTCAATAGAAGAACGGTAGTCTCCCACCCAGTCACCTACCTCTCAACATTCGATACCCCTGGCTAGCCTAAAAAATTCCAGTATGGGATAACCAAAAAATTGCAAAGTCCTTCAATAAAATCCATCAAAGTAAGGCGCGTATGTGATGCCGCTTGCGAGTATCTTATCTAATCCGTGCATACTAACCTGGGAAACGGGACCAGTTGGGCGAACTCGTCGTGGTTTTCACAGATTCAGTCAGTATCACATGCACAACGACAGTGTGCAGCACGTAAACCACTCTGCGGTGAGTATTCACAGGTGACGAAGAATTGTAACTGTTCTTAGGAGCAATTGTAGCGGTGCAAGACGGTGATTTAGCCTCTGTTATGTTTTTCTGAAAGAATCAGTGATGGTTTCACTTGATAGGAACCCAAAATTCACATCATGTACCTCAGGTGTAGAAAGTAGGTCCCGATCAAGGTGTTCTGTTTCATCATAAAAAGACTCTCGCCTTGTCCCGTGACTGCAACTTGAACTGGATTATCACTCCTTAACATGGAGTGTGGTCTTCTTCTTATATACGTCTGAGTTGTATTCACTCAAGGCCGAAGCACTGCTATCCAACGCTGTTCCATATGTTGTCTGAAAACTTTTCAATTGTTGATCGTGCAAAGAATGGTTTGTATGGAGTGGTGGGTTTCAACGCTTGTTTGATTATCGATCACAAGCAAGGAGTGCTCTCATAAATAGCTGATCGATAGCCTTTTCGAATCACCCAAGCAAAGCCACACGAGTGGTCACTGTTGGTGTACAGAGAGAAGGAAGTGCAGCCGAAGTAAATAGGTCGAATAGATCGGTATTTGATATCTTTAGCGTAAATCGATGAGGATTCTGCGGGAAGGGACCCAGCAAAATGATGAAGACAGTGGAGAGGGGATTTCTCAACCCAGTGACGGCTGTTCAAAACTAAAGAAAAGTTTCAATTCTTTTTCAGACGTTTTCAACAACCATCTCGGTTTATCTCAATGAAAACCCATGAGAATAAAGGCGATTGTCTGTTTGAGAGCTACTCAACGTTACTAGAGGCTGGAATGAACACAGAATCCCATCATTTTGCGGCACGAGTGGGAAAAACGCCACTAAGTGATGAGGAAATGTTTAATCCGAACGATCCAGATGACTGCACGAAAGAAAGAAGAATTAGTCTTTGTTGGTTGGAGTCACCACAGCCGTGGTTCTTTGAAGAGCAGTGTTCGAAATGGTAACAGCTCATCTGACAATCTTAGAATGACGATAAATTCATGCATACAGGCACTAAATGGTTGATTCGTTTCAATGAGTTTTATTAGTTCCGACGATTATTGTCCGAGACCATAGAAACTGTCAGCTTAACAAAGTAGTGACTAGTAGTTTAACTTCCTGCCAACTTTCAGGACCTATACTATGTCGAGGGACCCGGACAAGAGTAGTGCATGAAAACGATCGATGAGATGATAGAGGAAAGTTCGTTCTTGTTGCTATTCCTCAGTAGTACCAATCTCACAACTGTGCAGGGTGATTCGGCAGTGCCTGGATAAGTCTGAGAACTTCTCATCAGTCAGTAAACCAAGGATGAGTTTCCATTAGTATGATGCACAAGTTGCGGGATGCCTTATACACAAGTTACGAACGTAAAGCTACTCGTAAGCTGATCGTCCAAGCTTTCTTCTAGCGCACAAGCACGCACTGGTGTACCTCGGACATCTAAACAGCCGCAGTGCGCCTGATTTACCGAAGTGTTGTATACCGTTAGCAACATTGATTTACGTTTCTCACGGGCCTATATCCACAAAACTGTCTCCCTCTCTACAAGCCACAGGATTCATTTTCACATCATTCTCTTCTGCTGAGTTCACAGCAAAGAGGGGAGCACCGGACTCGAGTTTCGCTCTTATTAGAACTCATCCTAGGCCGTACAGGGGGTGGTTGAACTGTGGACGCCTCTTACAAGTGAGACGCCTGGAGCTGAAACAACAGCCGAATTGTGCTATAAACCCATTGAGTGAGGGACGGGAGTGCTTCCTTGAACATGGTCGTTAGTTAAGCGGTCTAGGTCCATCCTCAGTGTCATCAGACATTGACGAGTTTGCAACACGTCCCACAGATGACAGTACGACTTTGCACGCAACAGATTACCCATCCGGTTCTCTCCTGTGCCCTGTGCCACTCAGACATGCATTTTCGGCATGGTAAATTATTCGATGATAATCGATAAAAGTGAAGGTTAGACACCGCTAGCGAAACAACGAATTATCTTGCCCCGAAAAACGCATGTTAACGAGTTGACTTTACAGTGCAAATCACCCGGTGAACCAGCGATAAGGTCACGTGAAATCCGACGGTACTTTTTTGAGGATACCCCGATTTCGAGCGGTCTAGCCTCGGTCGGCCTCATGTAAACCAGATAGATAATCCGTGTAACGACCACACGAGCTGGTTAGGTAAACAGGCGCACGAAAACAAAGTCGGAAAGGTGAGAATAGAGACAACCTGGGACTCAGCGACATCTGTTCGCTGATAGGCTGAACCAAATGCGCGCACGTAGCTGTGTGCACGTGCGCTTGTGCGGACTTGCGAAATCACGGAAATGCAAATTGACAGACCCCACAACCACCCTCGCACCGCATCGATTGCTGGTTTTCGCACACAACAACTCGATTGCTGATGCGCGTTCACAGCAGACTCGAGACGACAGTTTTGGGCCTGGTGCGGCACGCATGTGCGCGTCGATAGCTGCATAATCTACGGCCGTGGGTACGATTGCACGCGTGCGTATGCATACGCTGAGTCATCAGACACGATTCAAGGAGTGTACTTTTCCAGTTTGGGTTGTTGGGTTCATTAGGCTGGGGAATCGGAGTTGGTGACCCCTAATCCATGTGATTGATTTTGAAATATGCCAACGGGCTCATCAGTATGCGGTCGACGAAAGCTATTCATCCCAAGACATGTTCGTATGTGATTGGTAGTGGCGCGGAAGTGCTTGACAAACTGTGCATAAGTTCTCCGGTATTCTAGCGAGCAGGAAACCATGGCCTGTCGGTTGGCCTACGTATTATAAACTGCCTGTTCTTTGCAGCGGTCAGAAATGCCTTGTTTTTCCTGTATGGTCAACAGACAAACTCGGATTCCTTCCACCGAACTCTCGAGCCGATTGATTATTTTGTTTATCGGAGAAGAAACGCTGTTATAGAAACGCACTGAGCATGTGTTAAAAACGGCGGGTGACTCCACTGCTTTTGGTTGCGTGGCAAAGCGTCTGATATTCATTCAACTCTTTTTGGTTATTCAAAAATCAATCGTTTGGTTGGATATCATCGGATTTCAGGTTTTGACCTGGCCTGAACTACACCAGAAAATACACTGGTATCAAGACGATGACGAGAAGTTATAACCACAAGTTTGGAAGTTGTAGAGTTCGGGAAGAATAGAGTTCAGTCCTGTTCCAGTTTTGTGATTTCAAAATCACAAAAACGCCAAAATAGTTCTTGAATCGTTCAGGTGTAGCACTCTTTCTGTGCTTAACTGCCATACCACTCGAAGGAAGCACGAGGGCTGGGATACTGCCAGGTTGCCCAAGTCTAGACAGAGGAAGTCGGGTTCGAACCACGGACCTTCCGGTCAGTAAATTCGCACTCTAACCACTAAGCCATCTCACCCTCTATAGCTCAGTGAAGCATGATTCGACGTGGTGAGATTTCAGTTACTCTGTTTCTTGTGAATAATATTTGCCAGGGGTGTGGATTTCCAATAAAGTAGTCTAAAACGGATAACGAAAATGAACGTCTGATCAAAATGTGCAGATGACTGTGTTGGTTGCAGCGTGCACACCAATGCTTAGCTTTCAAAATCCAGCGTGAATTGCGAATGATTTTTACTAGGTCCAGTTGTAGGTCATTCGTTTGGTGAAACCTATAAATTAGTCCTTGGTGTACGATTAATTGGGCCCAAAAAAGACCACATACCAGCTGAGGAAGATTGAAGGTTTCATGAGAAAATATACTACTCGATTGGATTTATTCAATGAAACGTGGGATATCTAATGATGCACAGAGGGGACTTTTACATGCTGCACCTTAATGCCGCCGACCAGCGCAAATTCATTGGGTGAATAGTGATCATACTCGTCACAGAATGGCAGTATCGATCAGAAATTCGAAATGAACGATGTTTAGAGACGGAAACTTCAATTCAGATGACCCAGAGAGTCTGGCAACTTGCTGACATTTACTCAGGACCAGCAAGAAGGATTTTCATCAGGATCTCGAATGATTTTTCTCCTTGACTTCAAGGAACCAGCTGGAACCGGAACTCTTTCATTGGGACGATGATTGGGCAAGCATGACCTCATTAGAGAATGGTTTTGTGTTCTAAAACACCCAGACTGTGAGTTGGCCAACTCAAAATTCGATGGAACATGTCCGACACTCGCTAATAGAATGAGTCTATGTGGATGGTCGTAGGTATTGCACAGAATGAGGTCAATGCCGCATCACAAATGACAAGACTGCAAAGCTAAAATCGCACGGGTTTCGATCCCTTAGATGTATTTTGGTTATAAATAACAAAAGACGTTTTCATCGGTCTTTTCAGAGGTCTTTTTGTCATTTCTCACCCCATGGACGTTTCATCCGCAACAAACAAATTTGTTTGAGTTTGCATCGGTGGACTGACGTTATCAGTGTGTAGTAAAGTTGGCGGTGTGTCGGTGGGTTGTCCTTCAAGCGGTCAACAATCGTCCGGCAGATTGGAAACCTCTTGACGCGGAAGTTCCGATGGGTGAGTCGACCAACACAACCAGGGCAGTTGTCTGATAACAGTTCATGAAGGCCGATGAAGCGTAGACTAGCTCGCCGACTCAGGCATGGTACTTCCGGTGAGCCCGTCATGACGAGATGGGACCTTACCGTGGTTTGTGCACCTCAGCGACCCATTGAGCTATACTGTGTGATGTCCCCGCGACAATCACACAGTCCCTCATCCCAGGTTTGTCAATGGTTCGAGGTCTGACGAACACAGTCTCCTGATCCCCCAGGTTGGGGGTTGGAAAATGTGGCGACTTGTTCCGTTGAAATGGTAATGTGTTTGCATTTCCCGCCAAACACCGCTGCTTTGCGGCTTGGCTTCTGAGCCAAAGGCTTTGGTTGGGGACCCTAATCGTCCTCCAGCCTAGGCGTGGGCGCCCTGACAGTATCCCAGCCCACATACAACCATGGATTGCATGAATCGCGTGGTTCCATCAGCCGGGTTGCCTTACTCGCTGCAAACAGTAGGGCGGGCAAGCGCTAATAGGCTACTGCTGACGTCTCCTTTGTTTCTCATGAATTGCATGAATCGCGTGGTTCCATCAGCCGGGTCACCTTACTCGCTGCATGCAGTAGGGCGGGTAAGCGAAAACGAGCTATCGCTGACGTCTCCCTTATTTATGAAACATCAGTGTTGAACACTTGTGTCATGCTGTCGATGATGATGATGATGGTGGTGACTTCAGGTGGGCTGGTGCGGTAGTGCTAACACCCCCGCCTTGTATACCCTTCACACACTCCCGATCGGCTCCAGTAAGAGCTTAGTGTGGCCTAGAGCGAGCGAGAGTGATATGAACACAATTCCACAACTGCGGCCTAATATGTGAATCGTTACTCGCTTGAGCCTTCGTAGTATGAAATAAGCCATTGCAGAACCTGACGAAGCGATTGTGCCCCAATCCAGTGGGGATTCACTTCACTTGTGCAAGTTAAAACCAACTGCGAAGCACACATAGGTCTGTCGCACTGTTGTACCTCAGCTCTACCCTACAGAATAGTCAAAGGAGAGGCAAGAATACTTGCATTTCACTATATATATA